GCGTTTGACGCAAAATCGAACGATCTTGTAGTGTAGGGACATGCTTCCTTTGTTTGCGCTAACAAGTAACAACAACTCGGCAACTATCAACCGCCCCATCTAAATCACCACGATAATAATCTCACCTAACCACTCCCTTCTCCTTCAGTTGGGCTATTTGCTCATCGCTCAAGCCTACATGTTCTCTCAAGACCTCATCGGTATGTTGTCCTAGCGTAGGCGGCGGGCTTCTAATCGTGGGACTCGTCTCCGAGTACTTGACAGGCGAGTTCACCATCTTGATGGGCCCGCATTCTTCATGCTCTACCTCAACCACCATGTTGCGAGCAAGGGTGTGCTCATGCGTAAGAGTGGTGAGAACATCGTTGATCGCGGCGTAGGGCAGGCCTTTACCCTCAAAGATGTCCAGCCATTCTTGCGTGGTCTTGGTTCTTGTGATATTCTCGATCTCCTCCTCAAGCTCGACTCGGTTCGCTACCCGCTGCGCGTTGATCTTGTATCTTGGGTCATCCTTCCACTCCGAACGACCCAGGCCGTCGCATAAGATTCCGAACAATCGGTCGTTCCCTCCACCAAAGAGAATATCGCCGTCCTTGGTCTCGAACGCCTTGTATGGAACAATCGAAGCTACTGTTGTTAGTGGTCCGTTGCTCAGGAGAAGGGTTGAAAATGGGGCACTTACGATGGGCGGTTCCCCAACGGCCGGAGTCCTTCTTTCCGCTGACCAAGCAGCTGCTTGCGATATTTGCCAGGGTGGCCGTCTGGCAGTCGCTCAAGCACGCATCGATCCATTGCCCTCTGCCGGTTTTGGCACGGGCAAGCAAGGCGGCCATGATACTGTTGCTCGTATACAACCCGGTGGTGAGATCCGTCACGGCCACGCCAACCTTGACCGGTGGGCCATCCCTACTGCCGGTAATGTGCATGAGGCCAAACTCGGCTTCCACCATAACATCGTAGCCAGCCCGGCTCGAGTACGGCCCGGTCTGTCCGTAACCGGTAATGGATGCGTAAATGAGTGCCGGGTTGATCTGGCGAAGGGTTTCATAGTCCAAGCCGTACTTCTTGAGCGATCCGGGGACGTAGTTTTCCACGAGGATGTCACACTTGGCCGCCAGCTTTTGCAGAATCTCCACGCCGGCTGGGTTTTGGAATGAAAGGGCAAGCGACTTCTTGTTTCGGTTGACTCCCAGGAAGTACGCCGATTCACCTGGTCCCTCCATGGACGAGCCGGACTTGTAGCTGGCATACGGTGGCCCCCATGCTCGAGTATCGTCACCTCTCACGGGATGCTCGACCTTGATTACTTCTGCGCTCAAAGGTTCTCAGCTGGGGTTCTCACGGTTAGGGGCCGACGGACTCACCCAAGATCTCCTAGAATTTGTGTACAATAAGGCTGTATGATGGATCTTGTTAGCTCATCCTGGCGTAAGGGGGAGTTGCCTTCTTACCCCAGCCAGCACTCTAGTCATGTCCAGCACACGATAACCTTCAAGAGGGAGCGTTCCATCGGCGGAACGGACTGAGGAGCTGGCGAAGCAACGACGAGGTGTCGCTGTTAGAGAACGACTTAGGGCCGTAGCACGGGCGGCCTTGAATGGCCCAAGGAAACTGCTGTTCATCATATCGTACAGAGTCTACCACAACAAAGGAAGAAATAAGTAGTCATGAACAGACCAGGCCCATAGAAGCTTCAAGCCAAGACAGAACGACATCTGCTTTATACCATATGGGCTCCGCGGCGATCGGTGGAGAATAACGGAAGCTATTCCCGTTCCTTCCCCGCAATTCCGGCGGTCCAGCCACCGGATCCCGAGGTTTACAGTTCACCTTCCAGCGCCATTCCGGTATTGGAACGGCAGGCGTCTAGGGGAACAAGCGGCATCGGGCCACGATAATACCAACTCCACCGATGCCGCAGGATTATTATTGTCCCGGAAAATGATACCTAATTGAGGTAAGAACCCAACTTCGTCATCGAAAGTAGACACTGAGGCCGTCGGTTGGTTAGGTACGCTGTTCTGTTTGGAATACCCATCTTGTGGTGTGATGGGAACGAGAGCGCCATGACCGTATGCACTATGTTGAAGCGAGGCACGCTGTATTCGCCCTCTAGAGATATCAACAACTGGATCATACCTTGTCAACAGACAAAGAGCTACAGTCAGCCACACCAAGACTGGATCACAATACTTCGAGAATGTCGTATACAAAGCGTTTGGACTTCATCAGTTTGTGTTAGTGTCAACATGAACCTTCCGCATCATCATAACACTTTAGAAGGTTGACAGCTGCCAATAAGCTGACCAATCAGAAGGCTCGTTTCGCCTCCCCAAACACCTTTCTCAACTTTTCCACAGCGCGTCTTGGGGGTCCCGCTGTCTCATCAATAATTACAACTGATATCATCCATCGAAACCCACATCAACCTTCATCGACTTCAGGTTGTCTCGACCATATTTCTGCCCCAACACACGCCCATCACACCCTTCAAATCCCATACAAATCTAACCAGAGAAAAAGAGACACAACAACGAGAACAATATGGACTACCAGAACCGCGCGGGCTCCAAATTCGGCGGCGGCGGCGTAGCCTCCCACTCCGCCACCAACGCCGACCGCCGCGAGCGCCTGCGCAAGCTCGCCCTCGAGACCATCGATCTCGACAAAGACCCGTACATCTTCCGCAACCATCTCGGCTCCTTCGAATGCCGCCTGTGCCTGACAGTCCATCAAAACGACGGCTCCTACCTCGCCCCACCCAAGGCAAGAAGCATCAAACGAACCTCGCCCGTCGCGCCGCCCGCGAACAAAAAGAAGGCAAAGGCGAGGTCGACCCCCAAACGGGTCTCCCCGTCGGTGTCGTCGGCGCCGGTTTCGCTGCGCTCGGCCTGGGCGCGGGAGGCGTGCGCAAGAACGTGGTCAAGATCGGCCGTCCCGGATACAAGATCACCAAAGTACGCGACCCCATCACGCGCCAGCAAGGGTTGCTGTTCCAGCTGCAGTACCCGGACATTGCGACCGGTGTTACCCCGAAATGGCAGGTCATGAGCGCGTTCAGCCAACGGGTGGAGGAGCCAGATAGGAATTATCAGTACCTCCTTGTCGCGGCGGAGCCGTACGAGACGTGCGGGTTCAAGATCCCGGCGCGTGAGCTAGACAAGCGCGAGGACAGGCAGTTTGAGTTTTGGGACCCGGATAGCAAGGAGTACTGGGTGCAGATCATGTTTATGACGGAGCGCGAGGAGAGGTTTAATGCGGCGCCTGGGTTGACGGGGAGGAGGTGATTTGACTGATCGCATGGAGAACACCTCTCTACCTGCTCGAAACTGGCTTGGAATGGGGGGAGTTTTCTGTCATTATTCGTCACGCATCGGCGCCAACTCAGCTTCGTGGACGTACCCGGGGCCCCATATGCCACAGGAGGGCTTGCCGCTCGAAAGAGGATGGACGGAGGATATATGATCCCTGGAAATTGTGTCGAGAAACAGATCACAATTCGGTCAGTGGCTATTCCCAACAGCGATCTGCGTCGGCACCACGCAAGTCTAGGGAAGCTTTGGACGTACGGCCCATTTGAAGCACGACGACGATTGCCTTTGCGAATCCCTTCACCACTGCACCAAGGGATGATGTTGATACGTTCCATAGAGACGGACATCGTTAAAGAGGACGATGACTTGCCCTGTACCGATGTCATCGAAACAAAGGAGCTTGAGATTGTTGTAAGATTATATACAGACTCGGAGTTGCGTGTTCCCTCCTAGCTGACACACAATACAGACCTGACGAGCGGACGTTACGCCCATTGTCGTGTTTTCTTATATGCCCGTGAGTGAAGTCTTCTTACCTCGTTAATTAGTGATGTGAAGTAATTTGCATGTTGCCGGGCATCTAGCCACCGCCAAGTATATCATTGAACAACAATCCTACCCACTTGCTGTCTCGGTAGGTAGGACAGTAAGCAAGATCATCCGGCTTGGTTCCTCCCCGAGAAAATGGAAGACTTAGTCTAATATGACCTATAAAATCTGTTTGATACGGCAGGAGCATCCTCGCTATCTTCCTCGAGGCGAATTTTCTAGATGTGGAAAGCATCATCCACTGAATTCCAAAACTATCACGAAAAGGTTTCAATGTTATCACTCCAACAATTCCAGCGTTACAAGTACAGAGATATCATTCTAGAGTCATCCAAGGTTATCTTGGGAATGGGCCGAATCTGTGGAAACATGCAATGCGCGCTTCTCAGCGAATGCAGCCGATACGACGACAGCCAGACAAGACTGCAGCGCCCAAGCATCCAAGCAGAAGCTGCATGTCCCAGACGGAAGAAGGTACGGTGGATGTCGTCAGATGTCGGAATAAGTTCCCTGCGCACCAATGCTTCGTGTAATCTATTCCACTTCCTAGCTCTTCCCTTTCCATCGTTCCTTTCTAGCCACAAGTCTTAGTCCAGCAGCATCGTTTCAGCTCAAATTAAGTCCTGCTTCCTACTATCACTTGTTACCACCTCTAGATTCCCGCTTCCACTTCATCCAGCTTCCCTTCGTCTCCCGTCGCTCAGCATCAATTACGCAAATCCCACTTTCCTTCATTCCCCTGCATATCCCTTATACCACCTTCCCATTACAAACCCACCTTCTTCTCACGTTCCCTCAAAACTTTCTCCCTCTCAACCATCTCCTTCTCCTTCAACTCAAGCACCATCTCCTGGGCCTTGAGTTTGAGCCCCTCGAGCTTATTTCTCTCATCGAGCCCCATCAGGTCAAACTACTTAAAGATCAAGAGGTGAGTGCGGCCGCGCATCTTGTCGTCGTACCCGTTAAGGAAATCTGCCCGTTTGTATAGCTCCTTCTCACACTCAGCAAGTTGTTTGGCACCGTCCTCGGTCAATAAGAGATATATCTCGCGAAGCCCAGCTGCCCGATTGTTGATCTACTCCTCCTCCTCCTCGGCTTCAGCATCTTCCTGGGCTTGGTGAGGTTCGGACATCGACGAAGATGGGGTTGCCCCTGGGGCGACGCTCTGGTGGTGGACTTGAGGGAAAACAAGTGAGAGGTCAGTTGGTTGAGCTGGGTGGTGGCGTTGATGCTCTGACGGGGCAGTTGATGAGGTTCGGAGACGTTCCATGAAGAGCATGTGGTTGGCGTCTTGGATGAGAGCGTACTCGTTGAGCATGGTCCAGTAGACGTCAAGGAAACCCTTGAGGAGGTGTTGTTTAACAACATCCTGGAGGTCTTGGAATAAGGACTTTTTGTCGGCGTCGGAGAGTTCGTCTCCGGCTTCTGATGATCCTTCCTCTTCTGCTTTTTGCTCTGCCTCCTCCTCATCTGCTATATTCTCCTTCACCTTCTCCTCTGTCTTTACCTCTGCTTTCTCTTCCGCTGCTGCTCCCCCTGCTGCTTCGCCTTTACTTTCTTCTTCCCCATCAGTTTGGTCCGGGCTTGTAACCTCCACAGTATCACTCTCTGAGTTGACATGCCCCGTGACCGTCGAAAAGAAGCTCTGTTGTGATGCCATATGTACCTGCATCATGGAGCGAACAATGGTCTCGAGGCGTGGGTGCTTTTGCGCGTTGATGAAGTAGTCGGTCACCCATTTGAGGTTGCGGCTCCAGAATTCTTGAAGATGTACGGGTTGAAACATTTTGAAGGCCAATTGTTCAGGTGCTTTGGACTCAGGATCTTGCTCCGGTTGGACTTTGCGTCCTTCTCGGGAGTCATGTTGCGATGTTGACGCTCCAGGTTGCGATCTGCTCTCCATGTTCGAGGGCAAAAGCCTTCCCAAGAACGACCCGATCTTGCCCTTGTACTTTCTTCCATCTCCTCCTTCATTAGGCTCGCCACGTGCCTTGGTGTTTCTGCGTTGCTGAGACTGATGCTCCTGAACAACGTACTCTGTGGCCCACTCAACTAATTCCTTGAGGTTTTCTTCCCATGGTGGCTGGCCAGGCGAAGGGTTGTTCTGGTTCAAGAGACGCTCGACTTCTTTCTGGGCTTCCAGAACATTGGGATCTTCTAGAGATCTCTCGATACTTGAATCATCCATGCTGCTACTCTTTTTTTCAGGATGCAATGATATGATGGTCGAGGGGCAATGGTAAAAGGTCGTCGATTTTTGATATTTGTGCTGGGTAATTTGTGTTTCTGGGCGGCCGGGCTACGAAAGAAAAAAGTGAGAGGCTGCTCAAGAAAAGGCGTGCTATATAAATATGTTATCTCGTATATCCCTCCTCTCTACGCGTTTACAATAAATGACAGTGCTCTCATCACGATGTCCATGTTTACGCATGCGTGTTCCGGTGAATTCGTCGTTTGGGATTGTCACTAGAGCCTAGGTGATGGTGAATTGCCATCGTGTTCGAAGCACACAACTTGCTACTCTGACCTGAATTACCTCACCAGAAGCCGGTGATTACCAGGTTTCCGTTGCTTCAAGATTAACCAAGACCAAACGGTAGCCTGGTGTGAGGACGAAAAGCCGGTGTATCTCTTCGACTCGAGTGCCCTGTTCCATCTTTCATCGTCAGTCTACAACGCAATGGAACTACCAATAATCCTAAGTGATGCTCCTGCCGGTGAATTATGTCCTTGCTCGAGACTCAACGGCTTTGGGCACATCGTCATCCATCAACAGTTGTGATCCACTAGCCTTTGGCGATAACAAAACTGTGAGATAGCAATAGAACGATCAAGACGAAACAAACTGAGTGATGATCTATATGTGATGGACAAGGCTCCTCTGTGCATACTGGAGAATGCGTAGCTCGTACACAATTTGTATATAGAGTCGGGGGTGATGTTGTACAGCAAATCGCTTGTTGTGTCTCCATCTTCAGCGTATTCGTCGCAGACATTCTTCATCATCACTGGGAACTCAAGATCATTTCAAAATACTCCTACCTCTTCCCACACCCCTTTGTGCTGACAACCAATCGTTCAAGTAACCCTTCCAAAGACGATACTTAAAAAATACGCCATTTTTCTCAAAACAACCAGTCAAGATGCCTGGACGCATCTTTCCCAGCGGCACTCCAAGCCGGCACGAGCTAGAGAGGCAGTTAAGCGCCGCCCAGCACGACCTAAGGGAAGAGAGGGACTACTGTAGCCGCTTAGAGAGAACGATCGAAACACGAAGCGAGCTCGTCAGGAGCGATCTGGCAGAGCAGGAGTCAAAGGCGAAGGCCAGAGCCGACACGCTATTCCACAGGAATCCATCACCGGACTCAGACGAGTAGGTAGAGCTTCAGAAGACTGTGGCGCTGGAAGGATTTATTAAGAGGACGATCAGAGCGTTGGGGCCTACGATGAGGTCACCTCAGTAGTAAGAAGGGGTGGTGGAGGATGACGGGTAAGGTGGTCAGAAGGAATTTGGAAATAATAGGGACAGAACTGCCCATCAGCTGTGATCCTCGGCCCTCGTCAGGCATGCTGAGAAGTATCATGTGCTTTGCAGGCCAGCTGTTGAAGCAACGCTATGTCCCCTGACAGCGTTTTCAGTGTTGGCTTCAACAGTATATAGCATTTGGAGATATCCTCAGTCAGGGAAATAGCCACAACATGGTCCCTTCACAATGTGATGAGTCGCCAACGTTGTTTCTTGTGGTTTGTTGCCTTGAAGCAGAACACAGAGAAGATGAGGATGGATAGATGGCTACGTCCGAGGTTGGCTTTCTGCTTTGGCTTCCCCTTGACTAGAAATTCTTGATCCAAGAAATCTGAAATAAGCGACCTGCTCGGATGTTCTTTGCTACGAGCCGTCTTGCTCACGGGCGTGATTCGGTTATGATGAGAAAGAAGCGCACAATAGTTCTTTGGACACTCGTTCCGAGTCTATGGCAAAGGTATTCCGACTTACATCATGTCAAAGGCAATACCTTTTGTCTTTCCTCAAACTCGCCGCGTGGATACAGCGGCATAAATGGTCTGTTAGTGCGTTGGGTGGATTGGACAGGTTAGGTTAGGTTGGCTCGTTGGGTTATCACTCGCATAAAAGTCATTTGACTTTTTGGCGATGTGTTGTCCGAGTCTCAGCCAAAGACCCAAGAAAAGCTAAAGGATGGGTCGCATTAGGCTTGAGGCCTTAATATGGCTCACTATCTCTGTTGGGGCCTTGATGATACGCCCGTTGACGAGTTGATAAGAGGTAGTGATATCGAAACTGTAATTTCAACGGGACTACCTCGGGCTGAGGTCAGCGATGAATGCCGTTGAGCCGTTGGAGTCGGAAGATTTACACTTTAAACCGGCCTTCCGTGACGATTGCCCGGGCCGGCACCGGTACGTAACCATTGTGAGTGGGTCTGGAGTGCGACACCAAGCCGGGGCTCGGACAGCCGTTCAGCCCTGCCAAGATCCAGCTCCGGAGACGCTACCGGGCGTGGCGGGGCTCCTTCAGTAGCCCAGTGCCGGTCTCGGTTTCGATGTGACTGAAAATACTAGAGGATGATGGCGGGTGATACTCACAATTCAAATGTCAACAGCTGATCAGGCTGTTCATAAATGTCCCCTTTCGTGAAACACCGGCCGCATTGTTGTGGTTCATGAGGTCCAGGTGGTGAAGCTGGGCGAGCCGAGGCGGTTGAGAACTTGAGCTCTGCGCACAGACCACAATAATGCGCTACGGAAATCACTATGACGCTAATTGCATATCGAGTCTAGCGCTGCGGGGCCGCACTTTACTGCATTGCCTGCCCCCTGTGCTATTTGTAACAGGACGGCCAGGAAATGGTGGCATGGGCGCAGCAACCTACGTAGAGGAATCGACATGCCCGCATGCCTTGATATATGCAACATTTCCTGCCGTACGCCAGAACTTGACCTCTCAAATTCGTGACATGCACGCATTCTCTCGGGGCCTGCCTCTCATCCAACAGAACACTTCGTTCAACCCGCCAACCCGACGCTGACACTCTCCCTTGTCGTCGACAAAGACTCTGTTTTCTTCGCTCGGCCAAGTCCCCGACGATCGCCCCTAAACTCATCCACATACGTACGGCCGTTCCGGAGTGGTCATTCTGCCGACTGAAACAGCTCTTGTGATAGCTACCTACCTCTACCAGAAACCAGCTTTGAAAGACTCGCCCAAGTGAAAGCCCGCCTGCAGGGATCCTGGCAAAGCTCAGCTAGCTTGAACCCACACTTGCTTGCTGTCTTTCTGCCCGAACCCTCCAAGCCCACGTTCGGCTCCCCAATCAACACTTGCGACTCAACACTTCGTATCAACGCCCACAAACCGTCCTCGCTCCAGTCTTTTGCATGTCGCCTCACCACCAGCCCTTCGACCCCGAGAGCCAGCTTGGCGTCCCCGAAAATGCCCTTACGAATAGCGACTCGAAACAAGAGGTAGTCGCGTCATCGACGCCTTCGACCGCCCCTGAACCGACCACAGATGCTGTCATGGACGCAGAGGATGAAAAAGGCGCCCAACATGGAGAACCCGCCGAAGAAGAGACCGACTTGATGTCTTCGGTTGCTACCCTGAAGCCCACCATCTCGCCAACCACAACTACTGCCACGAATTACCTTACGATTGAATCTCGGACGTACATCGACCCCACACCACCCACACCCGCGGTCTCGCAACCGCCTTCTCGAAGCCCGTCCACTGCTCCTCCGCGATCGAGACGTGGCTCCGGGTCCGACGACGTATCACCCACTAGGTCGGACGCCGCATACGATGACAAGAAATATGCAAGTGAGGACGAGCGTGAGAGCGGGTCCAGGTCCGAACTGCAGAGCATTATGGAACAGTTCAGCGAAGGAGGTGGAGGCCCCGGCGCAGAGGAAGTCATGAGCCCCAGGTTAGAGATGGCCTCGCCTCTGCTGGCCAGTCCCGCACAATATCCGCCCCGCAAATCGAGCCTCGAACCACTTGCCCCCTCCATGGTCCAACAACTCGAAGGCTTGAGCTTGTCAAGCACATCTCCTGTGACGACGCCTCTGAAGGAAAAGGGCAGGGAAGAGCTGGCTCCCCCAGTCCCTCCAAAAGACGACCCGTTCCATTCCGGCAGCAGTTCATCACAGGCTCAAAAACGCCATAGCGTTCAGAGCCTTGATTTGCCAATGTCTCCCACGACCTCGCTTCATCGCCCTCCTCCTCCCGACCCAGAGCCAGAGCCACCGTTACCATTCGATTTCCATCGCTTCGTCGAACAGCTCCGAAACAAGAAGGCCGATCCCGTTGCAAGATACCTAAAGTCTTTCCTTTTCGAATTCGGCAAGAGGCAATGGATGGTCCATGAGCAGGTCAAGATCATCAGCGACTTCCTCGCATTCATTTCAAACAAGATGGCACAGTGTGAGTTATGGAGGAGCGTGTCAGATGCCGAGTTCGATAATGCGAGGGAAGGAATGGAGAAGCTTGTCATGAATCGGCTTTATACCCAAACTTTCTCTCCCGCAATACCCCCACCACAACCCATTCCTGGCGCCAAAAACAAAGGGCGGCGTGGGGAACGACCGATGGGACCAGGACGGCGTGGACAGCACCAGGAAGATGTTGAACGGGACGAGGTTCTTTCCCAGAAGATCAACATTTACCACTGGGTAAGAGAGGAACATCTTGATATTCCTCCGGTTAGTGAAAGCGGGAAACGGTTTCTCAAGCTGGCACAACAAGGTGAGAACTACTGCGGCTTCTCGATGGGGGGCTATCGCTGACAAAACCGCAGAGCTCCTGAAGATCAAGTCGTACCGCGCACCGCGAGACAAGATAATATGTGTCTTGAACTGCTGCAAGGTCATATTTGGTCTCCTTAAGCACTCAAAATCCGACGGGTCGGCGGACTCGTTCATGCCGATGCTCATCTATGTTGTGCTCCAGGCCAATCCGGAGCACTTGGTGTCTAACGTCCAATACATCCTCAGATTCCGCAACCAAGACAAGCTTGGCGGGGAAGCCGGCTACTACCTCTCCTCCCTAGTAAGTTTCTGGCATGACCTTGTTCGGTTTTAACCTGCTAACCTTTTCTAGATGGGAGCTATTCAGTTCATTGAGAACATGGACCGAACAACACTCACCATTACGGATGAGGAGTTTGAGAAGAACGTAGAGGCGGCAGTGTCTGCCATTGCGGAAAAGCATAGGGCTGAGTCACCTCCACCGCCAGTGGAGTCTGAGAAGTCAACTGCCGTGCCAACGCTAAGTGCTGGAGAGTCGTCACAAGTCCGCGCCTCACTTGATGTTGGCGGTCCTGCAACACCGCGCCGGTCTAGCTCTTCCAATGAGGCACGAGAAAGCAGTGAATATGGTGAGAATGAGGAAAAGGCGGCTATAGCAGGACTGCTGCGCACGATCCAGAAACCTTTGAGCACTATCGGCCGAATCTTCTCCGACGAAGGGGCATCTTCGTCAGCAGACCAAGACGTTCCTAGCCCGGCACACACTCCTCTACCAGAGCACGAAGCTCGTCGTCAGAGGTTATCAGCAGAAGAGGCAGCCGCAAGGCAAGCTAGCGCGGAAGCAGCCGAGGCACAACGACTGTTCCGCGCGGAACATGCCAATGTAGTCGAAACACTTGCAGGTATGTTTCCGGATCTCGATCGTGACATCATCAGCGACGTGGTTTATCAGAAGGAGGGAAGGTGAGTACTTCTGTTCTGTTCACATTTTCCAAGAACTTCCGCTAACTCGGCATCTTAGAGTTGGCTTGGCCGTCGACGCTTGTCTCGCTCTTTCATCATAAATGGGCAAACACCTCAACGGGCGGAGGTGCACAAAGCCGGACAGTAGAGAAGCAGGGAGCGTGAAGCAGGATATGGTGAACAACATTGCTTTGACGAATACTAGACGCGAACGCAGTAGTCAATCACATGCTCGGCATGTTGGCGCCTTGGAGGTCTCGATGATTCAGTCTTCAAGTTGAAGGAATAGGAGTATGGGCACGTAGGCTTGGGGTCATCGAATTAATACAGCCTGAGATACCACTTATCAATACATGATTAGACACCATTTGTTAAACATGTTTGTTACTATTGGCTGGTTGGTGATACCTTTGTTCCCTATCTGCTAAGTATTGTGCGTTGCGTTCCGTGCTCGGCTCGAACATCTCCCGAGAAAGCACCAGGGGAAAATTTCCACTTGACTCATGCACTACAGTCCGTACTTAAGCTTTCTTTTTGGACAAAGATTCAACAGCATTTTAACAGCTGCATGGCGCAGCGGAAGCGCGCCGGGCTCATAACCCGGAGGTCACTCGATCGAAACGAGTTGCAGCTAAACTTTTCTTTTTTTTTCTCAACTTTTTTTTCTCGTTGCCATAGGTCTCCCGGGATGTCGTTCTCGTCTCGAAATTTCCTGTCTTCTTTTGCCTTGTCCTTTTTTTTGGCTTTCTCTTCTGAATGATCCTTTCTGCTTCAGTCCCTGTAATCATCATACTACCCATTAGAGTGACGTACGGTATGCAATCTCGAGTTTGAGTCATTCCTTCCTAACATATGCATGCATATCGTCGACGCTTTCCGATGCGGCTCCCAACTTTGATTTTCTGCTGACTAAGCAATTCCTCACGCCTAATGCACGGATCCCATTCACATCCCTTCAACCTCACATGGTGCATGAGCCAAATCTCAACTGCACAAACGCTCACCCACCCTTCCAACCCGTCCGCATTCCACCATCTTCTCCGCCCACAATGTGCGGCATCCACGCCGTCCTCACTCCCTCGGGCATCGTCCACACCATCTCCCCAGACCTAACCCGCTGCCTCTGCAACCGCGGCCCAGACTACTTCGGCCAAGTCGAGAGGCGCGTCACCTCCACCTCATGTTCCTCTTCAAGCAACAGCGTCTCTTCATTGTCGTCGTTGGATAGCTGTTGGACATTAAAGCTCACATCCACCGTCCTCGCTCTCCGCGGCGATCACGTCGCCAAACAACCTCTCACCACATCCTACCCAGACGCAGACACAGACAAGACTGGCTCCGTGCTCTGCTGGAACGGCGAGGCTTGGCGCATCAATGGTGAGCTTGTCAAGGGTAATGACGGAGAGGAGATTTGGCGGCTGTTGAGGGAGGCGGAAGCTAGTGCTTCTGCGACTGTTGCTGCTGCTGCTGCTTCAGAGGAGGAGGAAGAGGAAGAGAAAAAGGAAAAGAAAATCCTGGATGTCTTCCGAGTCATTGAAGGTCCGTTTGCCTTTGTTTACTGGTATGAGGCGGGCCGGAAAGTCATCTTTGGCAGGGATCGGTTGGGGAGGAGGTCGCTTATGGCGAAGAGGGATGAGCGGACTGGGGAGTGGTGTTGTCGAGTGTTGGCGGAGGGATTCAACGGTGGTAGCGACAACACCAATGGGTCCAATGGGTGGAAGGAGGTGGAAGCTGATGGGATTTATGTGCTTGATTTGGGCTTGTTACCTTTGTCAGGCGAGGATGCAACACCCGCGGCGTTGGATCCGGTGCGGAGGGATTGGATCGAGGGTGTTGACCCAGCCGAGTTTGTGAGTACCTTGCGTTGCCATCTGTGATTTTTCTTTTCCCTGTGTCTTGGACTTCGGGTTCTTCCGAATCCACACGCGGCATGGCATGGCTATACATGGGTAAGGGTGTTGTTCAAACTCACTACTTCTCTCTTCTACAGGTTTCCAGCATCGGCAGATTCAACAAGTCTCTCCCGCCCGCCTCAAGCTACGCACCACTATCAGCGACTTCCCCCTCGGTGTTGGCGCTGAAGCAACAACTTATCGACTCCTTGTCTCTGCGCGTCCTCAACATCCCGCGGCCTCCCAATGCAGACAGGGTGGCTCACGATACTCGCGTCGCCGTGCTCTTCTCCGGAGGCCTGGATTGCACCGTCCTTGCAAGACTGGCCCACGAGGTCATGGACCCGGAGCAAGGAATCGATCTGCTAAATGTGGCGTTTGAAAACCCGCGGGTTGTGGCCCAGCTTCGCAAGGATCATGCCAAGAATAAGAACAAGAAGAAGAACAGCGGCAACGACAACGGCAATGATGAGGTCGATGGCGATAACATTGACATCGACTTCTACGAGGCCTGTCCCGACAGAATCACCGGCAGGAAATCGTTCGCCGAGCTGCAGAGAGTCTGTCGAGGACGGGCATTCCGGTTTGTAGCTGTAAGTTGCCGTCCGTCTTAGGTTCCATCGTTATGACCACATCCATCTAACATGATTTCTTCCTACTACCAGGTAAACGTCCCCTACACCGAAACCCTATCCCACCGCCAACAGGTTATCTCCCTCATCTACCCGCACAACACCGAAATGGATCTCTCCATCGGCTACGCTCTCTACTTCGCTGCTCGCGCCCAAGGCGCTTGTACCCACCTAGACGGCTGCGTGGAGGAGGAGTACAGCTCCCCCGCCCGCGTCCTCCTGTCCGGCTTGGGGCGCTGACGAGCTCTTTGGCGGTTACTCCCGTCATCCATCCGCCTACGAGCGGGCCGGGTACGCCGGTCTCGTCGATGAACTCTTGCTGGACGTTGGTCGTCTCGGCAAGCGGAACCTCGGCCGAGATGATCGGGCCATGTCGCACTGGAGTAAGGAGGTGAGGTTTCCTTTTCTGGATGAGAGGCTCGTGAGGTGGGCCATGAACACTCCCGCATGGGAGAAGTGTGACTTTGAGAACGAAGGAAGGGAAGTCGAAGCTGGCAAGAGAGTTTTGAGGCTGCTTGCTCTGGAATTGGGAATGGAAGGTGTGGCGAAGGAGAAGAAGAGGGCTGTAAGTTTGGCTGGTTTCCTCCAGGGTATCATTGCGATGAAAGAAGAATTGCTGACATCCCCAAACACAGATCCAATTCGGCGCAAGAACCGCCAAGATGGAAAGCGGGCGGGTAAAGGGAACCACCCTGATTTCCTAAAAAAACCACAAATCCCATGGACTGAGTTCAGTTCACCCACTCGATGGCTTGCTTGCTTCCAATCCAAGAAGACCCCCTAGAAGAAACCTTGCGGTGATGATTCTTACAGATACTTCCGAGTCACCGGTCCAACCAAAATTCCGACAACCCTTGCTTGTTTGAGAAAGGGGCTTGCCTGCGAATTTTGCTGGGCTTCCGTGCCGTTCGTGGTTCTGGTTTTGTTTGCAATGCAAGATCGAAGCCCTTCCCGGGTTGCTCGGCTCGCTCGCTTGTCTCTCTTTCCCTGCTTGTGCTAGTTGTCTTTTTTTCGCGATACTACTTGTAGTATTGCTCTCGACAATGATGTACAAAAGGCAGATCTGAGCTTGGTTTTCTAAAGGGGGTTCTTTGGATTGGGTTTTGGAAGCATCCTTTATGAGATGGGAGGGATCTGTTAGTGCAGCGCTCCTTCGGCGTGTTTGACTATATATATATGTAGTCTAGATTCCGTTGTACATAGGCAATTTCTGAATAACTAGGGCAATGACTTCACTGCCAGTGTTTCATGAGCTATTTTGGCAACTTTGTCTCCTTTCTTACAAATCTCCATGACGCGCCAGTATGGCTGTCTTCGAGTAGTTACGATGTGAAGCCCAACTATGAAACTTGGTAGTTCCTTCCACAAGAGAGTCAAAGCACTGCTGACGAAGACCTTGACCATGGGTTCAGTTTCCAGTAACGCGCCGGCGGCGATGGTTTGTAACTATTGAAAGCTGCCTTCAATGGCCCCCTTCTTGTTCTCGCAACTTGTCCCCGCTACAACAGTCGATGTTCTTGAATTCAACCCTACTTCAAGTCCATGGTTATCAGCTGGAAGGTTGACATGAGTATTGGTCAGCTTGTGGGGAGAGCGTCCGAAGCTGTTGGCTGTTTCTGTTTGTTTTTTCCCCTCCGGCTTTTTCAATGCTGATATGGTTCTATTGGTTGAGACGATGCTTCACAGTAGTTCAGCCCCAACCATCGTTGAAACAATCAGTTCACCAACAACTTCGTGTGTCGAAAACGGAGTCACTAGGGAGCTGTGACAGTCAACGCAAACGAAGGGGCAATTCGAAAATAAGTGCACTCAGCCAGTATAGAAGCGATAAGATTCCCCAGCTTCCTGCTTCTACCGGGTCTTGAACTCTCATAGACAAGCACATCTAGGATCTCCCCCAGCTTAACACCCAGGAATAGAACCCGGAACACTCGCGTTTTTGCCGGAATTGGTACGAGCAGCAACGATGACCGAGGATTTCAATTCAGGTCCCAAAGCTAGAGAGGCCTTGATGAATTTCAACCGTGCCCTCAATGGCCCTCCGTATTGTCAACCAGAATGGGAGGGAGATTTCAAGCACCTAGTTGAGTGGGCAACGGATTTTGTCATCCAGCAAGAGAAGAAGAGCGCGGAGAACAGTCGAGTCACAAAAAAAGTACTTGAAGATAACGAACAGTCCTGCGATCAAGAGCCCGACGACCAGCAAGATTCCGAAACCGCTCAACCTTTCCGCCTCTCCAATCTGCGGGATCGCATTCCCGACTGGGTGGTCACGTAGTCCTTAACGCCCAGAAGTATCCACGCCGCGAGACCATAGTTCGCTCCATGAAGGATGTCAAGATGGCAAGAATTCAAGACCAGATTGACGAGCTGGCGGAATTCGTTGACTCTGTGCTCGATCCCGAAGGCCATGACGTGCCGCATGAAGAAGAACTGCACGCGGTCCATCAAAAGCTATCCCAAGTCAAGACATTCCTCGAGGACCTGAGAATGAACAAGGACTGCATCGAATCGGGGTACCAGTCCCAGGAGCGGACCGTAGTCTGCAGAGGCTGCATATCGCAATACATAACCAACCCAGAACGGCTCAAAGAAATGCGCATAGCATTTGAAGGATCAGAAGAAGAAGAGGCTGTGTTCGCTGAATTTGCAGAACAGTTCACAGAATTGGCCGTGGAGTATGAGGAATCAGAAGAAGAGGCTGAGTACGCAGAATTCGCAGAATTCGCAGAATGGTTGTGGAAGAAATCGTGGGAGGAGGAAAAGGAAAAGAACGGTGACTACTATACAGCCGTCTATGACCTTGCCTCGGATCTCGACGGTCACTTCAACGAATACCTTTTTCTGCAAGAAGCCCACCGCATGCTTTCCAAAGCTCGTCCAAACTCTCCCACAGTTTCACAGAACCGCCAGGTTACTATTCCCCCTGCAGAAGACGGTCAAACCACCGTTTCTTCCAGAAAGAGCGGCACAGCTAGTGACCAGAATATCAGCGAAACAGAAAGCAATGCCGGGCATAAAACTACCACTTTGCGCAGGTGAATTGATTCTTTGGGTCAACGTCTTCGCCGATCTTAAAGATTGATCCGTATCGTCGATTCCAGAATCATGAACGGAAGGCGGAGGAGATGGTCCTGGCGTTGCAAGAGAAGAAGATGAGTAAGAGGGAGAAGGCCTCGATGGAACGCGAGGAGGAGATGGGTTTTGTGATGAGTGGGGGAATATGGTTCAAGGAAGAAATAAAAGAAGGGGTGATGAGGTGATAGGGCGAAGGGAAGCTTCAAGTAGCGGCGGAGGAAATGAAGAAGGCCGGCGCGGAAGAAGATACCTGGGAAGGAATGAACAAACTTGCAATGGAGTCCCTACCTCATGCTCGTGAGCACAATCTCGGAGTCTTTAGCTCCTTCTGTGGCTTGGTGTTGCCTTGACTCGTACCTTCCCGCTGCTGCTTGCAGTACTTACCTTGTTTTTTTTCTGTCATCCACAGACAAACTTTTTAAGTCACTGCGTTCCTTCCCCATCAACTCAACTCTCCCAGTCCGTCCGCCCTGCCCTTTCCTTTCACATTGGCCAGGCATTTCGAACCAGCGCGATGCCAGGAAACTTGTCATGCAGTACGTAGACTGAAAGCAACAACCCAGCAGCTGCGACCACTGCAGAAAAAGATCGATCCCCATAATTCTACATTTGGCGAGCTGAGCTGAGTGTATCATCATCATCGCTTACACATCACCAGAAAGCAGCATGCGTCTCGACGACAGAAAGACCGGGCAGTGAGTGTCCTTTGCAGTCAACCCTCTGGGTTAGGTGAGATAAATGATCATCATCATCCACTTCGCCTCCTGATTTTTTTAACCTCTCGCCACGTTTTACTGTTTCAGCTCTAGACCAGACCAGACCGAATGGGATCTACCACAGGCATCTGAGACCACTTGTCGTGATACTGTACCATAGATGCTTGACCACCGTCCATCGCTTGTGTGGCTGTTTTGGGACAACAGTTCTCCAGCGGGCTGTGGATCACAACAGTGGCCATGCACCGCATCGACGAGAGACGGACGTTCCGGTTCATTGACACGGGTCAGTCCAGGGAACTGTCTGTACTTCTGTAGCTTATGCAAACTGTTTTTTGACATCTCCCGTATGTCGAAACTTGACGAGTAGTCGAAGGGGATGTGAGCGCAAGTTATCATGATGGTCATCATGATTACGAATGATCTCGAAGTTCTCAGAAGCTGGTCTCATCCATATCCTCAAATCGGGGTTATATCGGATATCCTGGAGTGATATCCAACCGTTCCCAGCCGAACATCCGGTTATGTGAGCCAGTAGGACCGTCCTGACATCTTCACCTGCTGCAAGGAATTTATCGTCAATAATGAATGGAAGACGAAGATTGTCAGTCACCGGCCGATGTCACCAAGCAGCCTTTGAGTGTCTGTAACTCGTCCGTAAATCCCGATGTTAGTTTGGCATTTGTTGCAAATGCGAATGAGAGGGGAGAGAAGATAGCTGTTCTGCCGTGTTGAAAGGTCCAGACCACGTAGATCAGTTCTTTGGGAGCTCGCGACTTGCTTCTTGTTTCGACGACTATCATATCATATGGAATGGTAGTGAGGATATTCCGCGTGTCTGACTAACACTCAGATGGTGTTATTTCCTCGAAGGACGTATTTTGTACAGCCTCCTAATCGGAGTTCCCTTAACTGTCATGTCACCTTCTCGCAAGTGAACACAGAGTCATCCGTCTGTCTGCAGGTAGTAAGCCAGTTCTGAGGTCCGGTATAGACTCATAGCGCATAGCAACGGTTCTCTACATAACGTGCAAACGCATGTCTTTTAGTCTATCAAGCCAACTTGACTTCTATTTAAATCCCGCTTGAGATACACTGCAAATGCCGGTTGAGCAGTTGTAAGTGGACAAGAACGAAGACCTCAGAAGGTATCAGAACAGGAAGAATGAAACTCCAGAAGTCCGTGATAGAAACCTCCGACTGACACACACACCCGGATACGGACAACGGCCATTCGTCTGTCAGAAATGACAGAGCCCAATAAATACAGCAGCGCAGTCTCACGGAGCAAAACCTTGCTCAGAGAATGGTGTAATCTGATCCTCATTCTCTGGTAGGCCCCCCAAGTCAGGACAGGGAAGCCCCGCTCTTAAGGGTGCAATAAACCAACGTTAGGCAGGCAGGTGAGTAACCCAAGGTAGGAAATCGGTCCAAATAGGCGACTTGCCTCGATGTTCTGCATATTGCCTATATCCTGCCACATCCTCGATAAAACCACTCGGCCGCTTTGATGACGGAAAACGTTGGGAAAGGACAGGGATGTTGTGACTGTTGATACCTCACCCAAAAGCCAATGCCTGAAGAAATCGCACTTGAGCCTTCGAGGACGCCTTGTGTTGCCTCCTCAAGTCTATGACAAGGCTCCGGAATTCTTCCTCGCCGTCCACTTGGGCATCGAGCTGAAACTGTGAGATATTCTTCTGGGGGTCTTTGAAGCCTTATGCGCCCCTTCTCCTCTGCAGACCTACCTTTGGACGGGAGACATTCGTCTAGCATGCCTCAAATAACCATCTCGCTGTAGTAGAGGCTTGACCTCGGCGAGGAAGTGCGAGATACATACTGTATGTACCTCTCTGCTGGGTTGCCCAAAAGGGATATTCCGCCTCGATTTGATTGGACAGTGGACCACCATGGAAGTTGCATGAACACGAGAGGGCGATTATCGTTGGACGTCCACGATGCACGCCCGAGGACCTCTTCCACCGTCTATGGTGACCGTGACGGTTAGTTACAGGCATTGTACGCCGTTCACCGAAACAAAGGGTCATCATCACGCATGGCTTGACAGCGGATCGGAAATCTCAAGAGAATTTCAAGTCTCAACGTTTGAGTGACACTGCTGCCGAGGACTTAAGCCAAAGTCATGTGCTAAGATCGACGTTCGTGAGAGGCCAGACAAAGGCGAGAAACAAAAAGCGACCTCAGGGTATCTCCTCAGGGTATCTCCTCAGAGACCAGTGGTATCGGCATCACCTGAGAACGTCGCTGCAGCGACGATTGATGCTAACGGGAAAAATGGTCCAATCCCAGAGCCGCAGAGATGTGCCAGTTCCTACCCCAGATCAAATTGAATACAATAACGGGATGCCCGTGCATGTATGCAAATTCCGGCGAAGATGTGTGTGACGGGTAGGAACGTCCAAGGATTTTGCGAGCGAGAGTACCATGTCAATTACCTCAGGCTTGGCCGTGAAAAATTGCCTGCTTTTTACCAAAGGCAATTTATTAGGCTCATCAAATTGCTCAATGTGCTGTACTCGAGTGTCGTGGTGATACGCGTTGCACATCTGCATCCAGACTCTCTCGAACTCCAAAGAAGCCCCTGAAGGCGTGCAGGACGCCAGCGATATCGGTTATCGTCTGGTACGCCGGGACGTGTTCAACCTGGTGATCACGGCAACGTGCCACTGGCTCAGCAATTGCACGATCGGGTGCAAAGTAAGAGGTCTTTGGGGGACAGGTGAAGTCGAGAACCATTTTGACGTCCCGGCAGCTGGGGCCTAAGGCATGTGGTCGCTGCTAACCCCAACTCCAATCCACCTCATGCTTCCGGGTTGGTGGTCTTGGTCGGGGCCCGATATTGTCGGCGAATGAGAGGTTGACACACAGTCAGCGCCGTGATGGTCTGATACGGGCGGACCCCACGGCCCTCGCTGGAGCCTGCAGAGCGAACAGTCGGTTCCAAGTGCGGAGAATCGTCGACCTGCGCCAAGCCGTAAACGGTGGTGTCCAGTAGGTCTCCAGTGCCGGCCCATGGAAGCTATCGCCATTGTGGCTAGGGGAATTGAGTTGGCTGAACCAAGCCGAATTTGAGCCGGAAGCTAAGCTTGCTGAAACAACCAGGGCCGGGATTTCCAGGCGATCGGGGGCTTTGCAAGAAGAAATAATTATATGGAGCTGGGCCGATCTGTATGAGGCCTTTGTAATGGTATCGGTGCGAAGGTGAGAAGCGCGTCATGGTGGCTCTTGGTGTTCGGTCTCCTGAGAAGTTGAAGGTGGAGGTGCCCGGCCTGTGTGGCCTTTGGTGGCTCTCTGGATGGGCCTGGATGGTAGGTGCTGAAGGCGCGATAACAGGGCCAACTGGATTTGTAGCCATGAGGGGCAGAATACAACATGGCAACTCAATACATTAATCTTGACGCATCTGATGCTGAATGAGTGACAAGAAGATTGAAGTGGTTGCTGTCGGTAGGTAGTCAACCATCTTGCTTCCAGAAAGGGAAGATACCCCACGATTTGTGAGCATCTCTGTCCATTCACGTCTTCACCAGCCTCCCTGAAGAACCGCCTCACTTCTCATAAATGGGAGTTGTGCCCGTGTGGCTGGAAGTGTTGCTTCCAAAACGGCGCCTGGGCACTTGAGATGTCTTCAGTGAGTGGCCAAGGTGGTTGTAGTTGGGCATCCGGACATCGACCAGGTTCTTGTGTGGTTAGTCCTTGGGCTTCCTTCAGTTCCGGCGGCCGTTCTGACTTGTGAGAATTGCTGCCACGTACAGATTACATGCGCCTGCTAGGCGTTCTGTATTCTTCCGGCCGCTCAAGTCATCGCCCTGATTGGCATCTTCCAGCATCCTTAACGGACTGGGAATAGCGCCAGTTGGTAGCCCCTGTTAATCACCAGCCGGAAAGACTCTGTGTTTGCCGCGATAGGATTTTGTGAGTCCGTCTTGTTGTGCTGCGCAGAGTTATTGTTAGGAGTTGTTAGCACGCCAACCATCGAGATGCTAGAGTCCAGGTTCGATAGACCATAGAGGACCGGGGAACTCTTGGGAAAGGCACGATGAGTGTGGGAAGGTAGCACATCGCCGCTGGCATGATAGCCTTGGTTAATCAAAGTGGTGGAAACGCGATGGCCGATGTAGAAATCGGCGGTATCAAGACGTTGGGAGGGTTGGCGTCATTCGGCAGGATAATCAAACAAGGTAACAAGGCAAAGAGGCCGGCCGGTCCAAGTGGGAGCCATTCGGT